TCTCTTTATATCGCCAGATCTCTTTATCTCGCGCGATTAGCGGCCGCCCGCGTCGGAGAAAATGTCGAGGAGTTTCACCAAGGGACTCTACGCTTCCTTTTTAGGTTGTCATTGAAAGCGCTCCGAATTCGCGTCGCACGCGTTCCGGACGTACGTGTCTTTTACGTGTTGGAAGTAGATAATCTTTAATTATTAATAAATGCAACCCACCGATATGATATATAATCAATTTATTTACGATATGATGTACCAGATAATAGAATCAATTTGAGAAAAGCCTAATTAGACTTCAAAGATCCAGTCATCGTAAATGGCGTTTTAAATAGGTAATTTTGAAAGAGAGTAGAATATTTTGATGATATTTCTCAAAGTAACTTGGAACCCTTCGAGTCGCCCTCTTTAGATCTCTTTTTCGCTTTTTTCCAAATAAAGAAACGAGATGAGTCAACGGTAAAGTATTAATACGACGTATTCTCAGAAATAAAAATATAATGATAAACAGGATGTAAGATCGTTGATCTTACACGATATCATAATTTTGCGGTATCTATATCGCCATATTATGATTTCGATATATTACGATATCGTATTACGTTTTCGATTCCGATTAGATTAGCGGCCAGGGGCCAGGGCTTTTCGCGATCGTTGTTAATCCCGATCGATCTCCGACTCGATCGAGGGTGAGCTCGGCGCGGGTTCTCGGAACGAACTTTCTTTTCACCGAGTTTCCAGGGGGGAACGACTCCTCAAGTGGAAACAGGCTACCTTCGTATGACCATTAAAGAGCTTGCGATTGAACTTTCGCCGGCGATCGATCAGATTTCTTTCGAGAGAAATACCGCATGGCGTACAATTTTAACATAATATCGCTGAATTAGATGACTGATCATCGTGAAAGGAATGAGGCGTTTCGAAGTCGAAATCGTGGTACAATCTTTTCTCCTGCCGCAGGAATAATTTACAACGTAAATTATGAATAATTATAATTAAATTATTATTTATCGTTATTAATTTTTCTCAATTACTAATATTTATCATTAGTAATTATTATTAATTATAAGCTATAGCTATGTGAAACATTTTAATATATTTGGCGAACCAACTGTCGACCCTAAAGCTTCAATATTTGTATATTAATGTTTTTGTACAAATATGTAATGTAAGGAAAAGGTAAAGAGGAAAATTGCCGACCGGTGTTTAATTTCGTCGAAAGCGTTCGCTCTCTAGTCTTTACTTGGTTCTATTGTCGAAGGTGAGACACGGTCGCCATATCGGTGCAACCTGTCCTTAAGTGTGCCAACGGGAATTCTACGCGGCAGCCTTTCAGATAACTCGGGCTTATCATCTCGATTGCAGCGTTAGATAAATATTCAGGTAGCCGGCGAAGTGTTACACTACCGAGAATGCGCTCTTCACAGCCAATATATCTGGAATAAACATGATAAAAACACAAAAAGTTCAGTCGCGGAATTATCGGTTCTTGCTTGTGATGCAGGACAAATATCGCGATAAAATCGACTCGTCACGGAAAAAACTGAAATCTCACGGCATTGCTTATCTGCAGTCGAAGAGAAATTTCTCGTCGATAACTAATTATAACGAAATGGCCGGTATCTAGTTCATTGAGGCGTGCTACTATCGAGCTGGAGAACGTCGCGACTTCCTCCAAGTCCGCGATAATGTCTCGCTGCGATTCGATTCGAAAGGCAATTTCGAATCGAATCGCGCGTACATATGAATGCCGGCGTGAACATTCAAATCAAGTTGAGCTTTGCGTACCGTGCTCTCTCTCCATCTCTCGCAACGAAATACCGTAGACGCGCGCATATTAAACGGCGGCCATTTAATTTATTCAGTTAACGAGGTCAGAACTCTATGCCGGCGCGGCAGCGGCTTGGCCGGGTCGGCTATACCGTTGTTGCAAATCGAAGAACGACGGAGCGGTACAGATGTAATTCTGGAGCCGATCGCAGGTCGAAATCGCGCGCGTTTTGCGCGAAAAGATTTAACGATAAACCGGCCGGCCTTGCACTCTCGGCAGGCGATCATGCGAGGTTCTCTCGGGTAAGTGTGTCAAACGGGACGAAACGACGGAGCGGCTACCGCGAGGTCCTCCGCGAGATTCTACCGTTAAACGATGGACTCCTTTGCCTTCCGCTTTCCTCGCTCCTCTGGCTTTCCCCGCCGACTTCGGTGACTTCGTTCCCCGGATCTTCTCTATTATATTTCTCAATAATTCGAAGAATATGCTCGCCGATTTATTAAAACTGGAAGAGTGAGAATTGAAAGAATTAAAGAAAACATTTTTTTAAACTTGTTTTCCCTCGAAAAAGAAAGAAATATTTTTGTTTACGAAACAAAGGAAAAATTAGTGGAAAACGAGCTTGATAAGTTATAAGATAGATTATAATATTTTTAAGCTAAACAGAGCAATAATAGAAAAAGATCCTTGTTCCTCCTTAACGTCTTCCTTACGCATACGTTATTTTTCTTCGGAGTTGTTTGTCACACTTATACAATACAAGTACCACGTCACAGGTGTCTTCTTCTGTTTCGCTAGAGTTATTTTTCTCATCGTAGTTACATTGAGCAAAAGAATAATCGCGTAACCACCTGCGAGCGCGGCGATCGATCGCACTTTAATCTCCTCTAAGGTCATTACAAGCGTGTCTGGGTGGAAGTCAGAGACACTCGGAGAGTTCGCACGATCTTTTCATCACGGACACGTAACACCGTCGCTCAAACAAGGCATTAAAAGACAGAAAAGAGTTGCGCGAAGAGAAGGAAGCCGTCCTTCGCGCGACGCGATATCGAAGGATATACCGATGTCCACGCGACCGCTAATAAAGAAACGTCGTCCCGCTAATAATAGCCGCTTACGCGCGTATCTTCGCGAATGACGTCCTGACAGCATTGTTTCCTTTTCTCTTCTTTTTCTCCATCCACCCGTTGTCGGCTTCATTCAGGAAAAATGGCGAGCAGGAGGATCGCGAGCGCGTCGTGAAATTATGGCTTTCGCTGCATGCGTCGTATATAACTCATATATTCGCAGAAGTCGTACTCGCACGCGTGCGTACACGTGTACCTATATATTTTGCCTACTCGTAACGGTATATTCTACAATCTACAGCAAGACGCCGCGACTGCGTCCTGTACATATTCCGCGTATGCGATGGAGATGTCCGTAAAAGGAGGCTCCGCATATTGTATTGTGTGTATCTCAAGGAGAATTATAAGCTTCCAAAATTTAAATAGTTTTTATAATACAATTACGAAAGATGTAGCAGGGAGATGCAGGTAGATTATAATTTATACCGTCAATTATAATACATTAAATCGCACACTTGCCGCGCTTAATCGTCACGCTCAAAAATTGCAGTTTCAGGACGGAATTGTGTCACTTTCGAAGTCATTGACTCGTCCATATTTCATGAAGCCGTTCGCGAGATAGCTTCCTCCTCGTGGACGGTAAGACCTTTGTTGTGCAGAGAATTCTTCAGGCGAATGACACGAGTGCCCAGGCACGCATTAGCTTCTTTCAGCCATGAAACAAGGTTGCCCGCGATGTTACCATTAGCGATACCAGCGATGCGTACGCCGCTTTTAGTCGTCGGTCTTCCTTTTTTTGTTCGATTTTTTCCCCCCGTTTTTTTCCCGTCCAATACCGCGGCTTCGACGGAGCCGCGTAACGTTGTCGCGATGTGTCGCGAGGCCGCAACAACGCGAATCGTTTGTGTAACCGACATCAACGCGAAAAGGGGAAAAAAATAAAACGTTTCGCCTCTCGTTTCTCTCGCTCTCCTAAACCGAGATTCCACGGCGAAGAGGTCCCCCATTTTTTCTCCCCCCCCCCCGTGTCCCCCAAGTTCAGCTCGTAAATATGCTGAACTCGATCAAACGCCAGTGGTTTCGTCGATCCGCGTTCGGCAAACGCTTGCGCGGCTTTTTAAAGGAATGGAATTCGCCTGCGTGTGTGTACGCGCGCGTCGTATCTCCCTCACGGCGAGTTAAATCGTGTCGTTAAAATTCTGAACGTTACGATAAATCGTGCCAATACCGCGGAAGGAGAGCGATTTGTCGTCGCGCGATTTAACTTGCAAAAGATGCGCATCCCTTCCCTCTCGTGTCGCACCCGTCGCGTCGTTTCGACTTGTGGTTTGGCTGGTTCTCGTTCCGCGGGATATCGACGGGATGCGCACCTGACGTCGCGGACGAATTTTCAGGCTTTCGTAATAGAGAAAGGAGGTGAGGAGCGCCGACCGGGTGAGAGATAGAGCCGCGTTCGAAGATGGAAGACGTTCAGTGTCTTCGTGACATTTGATCCACCATCCGCGTTCTCCGCGCGACTCCTATATTCGACATGAATACCAATGCGAGATTTCCGCTGGGGAGTCTCGAAGATACTTTTCTCCAGGCTGTTATCGCGCTCTCGCTTTATTTTACATTGAGTTTTGATAGCGTTTTGATATCCGCATTGTTTTATTTTTCCTTTTTTTAGTAATCCGGGAAAAAGAATTTAAATCGATATTAGAAACAACGTTGAAGCAATAATTAAAGCAACGTTGTGACAAAGTTGCGGCGTTGCGGCTCAAGTTGAAGTAAAGACAGGTTTCGATTATTAGCCTCTCGTTATCTGCTTATTGCGCGCTTTATTCGAAATAAATGACTCATACCTCAAAGTCAGCTTGCACAATCGCGGATGAAAGAGAGAGAGGCATAAACTCTTTGAATATCCCCCGCGGAATCCTCGATTGGCATAACCGCCGCGCAGAAAATCAAGCTCGCGTCGATAAATCAAATCAGCGAGGCTCGCTTGACCATCCTCACCGAATTGTTGTCATATTTTATTTCACCTTCTCGTACACGTTCCAGAGATAATGACGCAGACGTCGCGCGATGACGTTCCGCGTTAAATTTTTTCGGTTAAGTATCGGACAGTAGTTTCGATATTCGTTGACGAGCAACGCGTTCAACTCCGAAAGATGTTTAACAGATGTTCGATGGACGCCTGAGGGATTACCATGACACGCATTCATATCTCACATTCAGCGCCAAGAGTGTGGTTGCTTGAATCTCACTCGTGTAAGACAAATAAAACTTGCTATCGGACGGCGATATACATCGCTGAATGTGGAAACAGATCCGCGCCTTTGAGGCGCGTGCAAAAAATATGTAGGATATAAAAAGAAACGGTCCGTCAATAAACGAGAGAACTTCAATAAGGATGTTTTTTAATTAAATAATTTCAGAGGTAATTCTCTTCGAGGTTTTGCTTTCGTTGATATCCAAAAATACTCGTTAGAATATCTGAAGACTTTTAGGAATTAAAAACTGCGAAAAGCTCAGAAATTGTGACCTATAAAGATTTGCTATTGCGTGCTTGATCCGCGAGAATCGCCCGTTGACAGGAGATCTCCTCCTGGGAAAATTGCGCGCGCGTACGCTAAATGGAACCTCTAGGTCTCTCACGTTGTGCAACATCCGAAAACGGACTGTGCGTCATCACCGAGAGAGAATAAAAAACCGCTCGAGGTGCCGGCTGATGCGCGTGTGACGCATGGGGCTGTGGAAAGTAAGACGACATCGATAGTAGTAAACGATAGTAGCAGCGACGATACAAAGACAGCGATGCGCGGTGGTGATATCGCGGGACCACCTCCTCTTCTCTAAACGCTCGGCTCGTTAGATCCTAGAAAAGCGGCCGATTGTTAGCGCCCGATGAAAATAGAACCTCCGTTGCCCGAGAGGAACAGAGAGAGGAAGAGAGAGAGAAAGAGTTGGCGAACTGCCGAGATTCAATTTGCTCGAATTACGGTTGTCCGAGGAGAGAACGATTACGTTACACAATGCGTGGGTTGTTCAGCTTCCATCGGTTGGGTAAAGCCGGTAAAGGATCAAAGTATCGGGGGAAACGATCAGAGTGGAATGTTGTCATAGCGAAAGATATTTCGCGCGATTGTCCATTAGACACGGTATTAGACGCGCTATCGCAACAAATCTTGAAACGGTCAAAGGTTAAAAAGTACCAAGGCACGAGAGGTGTATGATTGTAGATTACAAATGTCAGAGGGAAACAATGCTGAATGGTCGGAGCCGCGGGATTGGGGAGAAAAAAATTCCCCGATGATGATGTAAAGATTTGTTTTTCGACGTTTGACGGCACGCGCTTTCTAACGTCGAAAATATCAGGATCCGCGCCGAAAATAGCACGTCGGGATAGAAAGAAGCAAAAATAAAAAATGGAGATAATTTTGATCGGTATATTGCGTAAGGTTTTTTCAGGATGGCCGTGAACGCGCGAAGTTAGAACGTCAGAGACGAGCGAATAAATAAACCGCGAACTTCGGGAAAACGAGAGCGCTGGCGGATTGGGTTCGGTACTCTCTCGATTATTCGGCCGATCGAGCAGCAGAAAATGCGTGGCGGTGGGACGTCACGTCGGTCGGAGATTCGACTATAATGGGTTGGGTCTGCTCATCGCTCGCGAACACAATGATCCGCGCGTTTCGCCACGCCGTTGTTAGATTCGTACACTAGTTGCCGGATGACGTCAGCCTCTTATCGCTCAGAGATACAGGCAGGATAATCGAATCCACGAGATACCGCGGAATTTACATGCCAGCCTTAACGACGATAGCCGCGAGAACACGCGGCTTTTATATGCAAAGAATGACAAGATGTAATAATTCATGTGAAAAAAAATAACAAAATCTTGTAGATGTATTTTAAATCGTAATAACATATTCTTTCTAAAATAGATTTGAGATCGCGTATATTTTTTAAATCTTACATACATATATCTTGATGCTAAATCTAACGAAGAAATATAAATATATTGATATCAATCTAACGAAGGAAATATTGCTTCTAGGCATCGACGATCGATGGCCGTCGAAAGGGCGCCTGTCTCTTCTGCCAGGAATACTTCATGGATCTGTACCTCTTGGCGGAGCTGAAAACGATCTCTCTGAAGGTGACCACCGTGGATATGCAGAAACCGCCGCCCGACTTTCGCACCAACTTCCAGGCCACGCCGCCGCCCATCCTGATCGACAACGGCGACGCGATACTGGAGAACGAAAAGATTGAACGGCACATCATGAAAAACATCCCCGGCGGGCACAATCTGTTTGTACAAGATAAGGAAGTGGCCACTCTCGTGGAGAACTTGTTCAGCGTGAGTGTCGGTCAATCCGGTCGAGAGTGAAACCAATCGGGAAAAAGAGCTGTCGAATTATATACCTTTCTCTGGCGAGGCGAGAAATTACATGTCGTTCGCTCCGTTCATATATTTCAGAAACTCAAGTTGCTGCTGCTGAACGCGAAGGACAAGGACAAGGATCCCAAGTCCTCATCGCTGATGGCGCATCTGCGCAAGATCGACGAGCATCTGGGCCGCAAGGGCACGCGCTTCCTCACCGGCGACACCATGTGCTGCTTCGACTGCGAGCTGATGCCGCGACTGCAGCACATCAGGGTCGCCGGCAAGTACTTTGCCGACTTCGAGATACCGGAGACCCTGGTGCACCTGTGGCGATACATGCACCACATGTACAGGCTCGACGCTTTCCTACAGAGCTGCCCGGCCGATCAGGATATCATTAATCACTACAAACTGCAACAGGTGAGACGCATTAGAGCGGATCTCTAATTGTATTCGCGAGATGTCGACTAAATAATTAGCGCTTTTCGACAAGCCTTTGATTCACGCCTACGCGTCACACAATGACGCAATCCCATTCGCCGCGCAGTAAAACGTTTCCCATGTCCTCGACCGATATAATTGTAACGAATCTCCTCTCGTTATTTACAGGGTATGAAGATGAAGAAGCACGAGGAACTGGAGACGCCGACCTTCACCACGAGTATCCCGATCGAGGTCAACGACGACTAGGCTGGACCTTCCTCAGCGTCTGCGATCGCGTGACTTCGATTAGACATCGACATCGGCCTATAGCGAGACGGCGAATCGCCTCGACGGAGTTCTAACGGCGCGCATTTTGTAATTTAATATATTCAACATTAGTATCGAAAAAATAAGCAGGGATTTGTCCGCTAGAACGTCCGTCTTTTGAACTGCGAAAGCTCGTGTCATCGCGACATCGATCAAATTCATATCTTTTTGCTAAGCAATCATTGCTGTATCACATCCCTTTCTTGTGGGATCAAGTCAGGTGTAAAACGGATTAGTTTTTTTACTGCAAACGACGCGAAAACATATATAAGTGCATTAAGGCATTCAAAGTCTTAAAAACGATTCTAGAATATTGATCTTCTCCATTTTTCTTCTACTTTCTTTTTTCCCCTTCGCTATGTACAGCGTACGTAGTTTTGACCTGAGTAGTATTAGCAAGATTTTAATTTGCTCTATTGTTGATCTAAGGTTTAAATTTATCAGGAGAAGCGATGATGATATTGCCATTCTCTGACGGCAACAATCATGGAAACTAACACCAAGAATGCAAAAGAAACGTATGCCTTCGAGAGAATCAAATTGGTGCCATTATTGTATTTTTGCAATCCTTAATACGAATTATCCTTTGGATAGTGATCATTATTCCTAGGCATTATTCTTACATAAGACTAAGCAAATAAAGTAGGTGAAATCAATGTAGAACGCTTGATAAAATATTTCAACATCGTTCTTGAATTTGCGTAAATATTTTTAAACATTAGATTTCTCTTTTTTTTTCTCGTTTTCATTCAACCACTCATCACGAGCTATAGTAACAAGATACTTAAGCATGATTGGGATTTGCATGAATAGGAAGAGTACGTCGTTTGGAATTATAAATTTGTTTAACACGGCTTTACGCCGTGCTCTTAAACGCGTTTGCACGATAGATAAACAAAGACAGGTTATCGTTATATACGTAGAAGAAAGAAAAAATACGTTTTTCCGTATCTCTCGCGAGACACGTGATCAAGAGTGCGTACGTTTCTTCTGGATTCCGCAGCGCGGTTCGAGGCATCTTGTTATTCCCGTTTCATCGTTAGCCACTTTTACTGATTTACAAGCAGAGAACGAGCGCAAAACAGTTCCCACGATTGTTTTCCCTGAGTCGAAAGCATTTAAAGTAACAGCATCCGGGAACTCGACTCCTACATTTGCTTATTTTCACTAATCCGCTGTTCCAGAAAACCGAGCAACAGTGCGACTCGTAAGCAACTGTCTATTTCGCATTAGTAATTCTATTATTATTATAATTATAATTATTACTATTGTATTATTAATTTTGGTTTATATATCCGTAGAAGTCAATATACCAGTGTTTACAGTAATGCCTGGAGCACCCCATCATTTATTATGACGCAGATGCGCGGCATAGGCTAAGTTCTCGTATAAAATATTATAATTTTATACACGATATTTGAGCGCTATTTTTTTTGTTAAATATATACACGATATTGAGATATTTTTATATCTCGTGGCGATAAGGGCGAGCGTATAATATTTTATTCAGAGCGTCATCTCAGTAAGCTTTAGCCTAAAAAGGTGAAGAAAAAAACTGGTACAGAGCGAGATGTATCAGATGTAAGGTGAGTTTAACTTTAGAAAAACGTCTCTGTCGTCTCTTCAACACGGAATATTTTTCTCATTTTTCGCCGATGTACTTTTTGCGAAGCGATATAGAGAGACTGAAAAATATTTTTCTATATTTTTCACAAATATTCTTTTCGTGAAGCGGTGAATTACTTACACAAGTGAAAAGCATCATTTCAATGGAATATTTTCTTCATTTTTCGCTATGCTATACTTTTTGCGAAGCGACAGATTACTAGTTTAGAGAGATAAAAAAATATTTTCTTAATTTTTCGTGAATATTCATTATCATTTTGGTAAAGCCAATAGATTATGAGAGACAAGGATGGAATACTATTGTATTTTGTTGCTATATTTCTCGTTCTACTTTCATCGATCTAGTTTTATCAGTTTAATCTCTCTTGATTATTGGCGAGTAATTTCCGCGAGAGTCGCGGTAAGAAGGATCGCTAGATGACAACGAAAGGAGGACCGTATCCGTCGCGACGCTGCGCGTCGGTGTCCAGTCTCGCATACGCGATCTAAAATAGCGCGCGGACGGACGTCGCGTTCTCTCCCTCCTCGTCGTGTCACCGCAGCGAGCTAACGTGACGCGTCTCCCATTCATAAATAGGGACGGCCACTATCCGGCGGGACGGCCATCTTGACTACGCGATCGTGCGAGCTCCCGTCGCCGTCGGTCCGCGTCGACCGTCAACGTTCGCGATCGCCTCGCTCGCGAGAAATCATCGGGAGCATTAAATCACGCGCGGGACCGGCGGGACATCGGCGCCTGCCGTCGTCGGCGACGCGCGTGGACGGAAGCGGTGCGGCCGAGCAGCGCGGTGGTCGGTACGCAGTGCACAGCTGATCGGTGGCCCCGACGGACGGTAGCTGCTCTTGCTGCTTGCCTCGGCTCGTCGTCTCTCGAAGGCGAAAACGCGAAAACGGAGCGGACACACACACACACACAGAAAGACATATACAGACAGAAAAAGACAGATAGGAGGAAAAACGCGAGTGAGAGCTGAGAGCTTGAGAGGCAGGACGCGAGAGACCGCCCGCGCCCGCGCCGGTGCGGAGTTGCGGAGACTGTGGGCCGCGTGTACCGCGATTGCGCTCGTCGGTGACAGGTGAAAGCTCCGTGAGAGACGAAAAGAGTTTCTGCGAGGAAAAGGGATACGGGATTCTCTTGAAGAACGACTGCGGTGCTGGTCCCTTCCTCTGGCACGGACGAGGTGTAGGTGTTCGTGAAGAGGAAGAGGAGGAGGAGGAGGAAGAAGTGCACGACGTCGCAGCCCGCTCGTCGGACGTCTCCGATGGTTGCCGTCCGGTGAGTCTGCCTACTCGTGCGACTAAAGTTTGGGTCTAAAATACTCTAAAAGCGGCGCTCCAGGGCGACCGCCGCTGCCGTCGCCGTCGTCGCCGACGACGACGGCGACGGTGGCGTCTTATCGCGTCGCGAGGGAGCGACGGGGAAAGGGAACGGAGCGCGCTCTATTACTCGCGGCGGCGACGGCGGCGGACTCCACGCGGCACGAAAATACACCTGCGACGGAATGCACCGGATGGATACGCGGCTGTGCCGACAACAATGCGCTTCCGCGCGTAGGATCTAGACTCGGGGGGAAGGGGGGACATCATCGAGACCGAGTTTCGTTTTAGTCGCGCGTTCGGTTCGGGTCCGTTCCCTTCGGCCGCCGCGGCCGCTCCCCGTGCTTTTCCCCGACTAACGACTTTTACATGTCTCATCTCGTAGTAGGAACTTCATTATCGCTACTTAAGCATATTATAGTGATGAAACTCATGAAAAACATTCCGTGACACGATTGAAACAAAACTGCATTTTCGTGGCAGATGCGTTGAATAGCGTGTCTTTTACCTTGCATCGTTGCGCCATTCAAAATATCACATTGGACGGCACTTGTTTTTTTTACAAGCATTTATATCTTTTAAAAGATATATCGATGACTCCAGCAGCAAAAAATCGAGCACAAAAATGAAGCGCACAGAAAAAAAAGAATATACTCTTGATTTGAGAATATCTTTAGTTTCAACGTGGAAATCTTGAAATGAGATTATATTGCGTTAAACGAAGAAAACTTGCTGGAATGAAGTCATTTTATATAGTTTAACCAAGAAGAAAAGTTGAAATTCTTATAGAGAATATAAAAAGAATCAGGATCGTTTTGCTGTACAAAATTTTGCGTATATACGAAACAATGAACACGTTAATTTGAGTACATAAATGGCCGCGTTCAGCAGACACAACTGTTGAGTGTCGTCTTATCAACACGCTACGTTGATTTGTTGGGTCTAAAAGTAAGAGCCAATCACGTTCGATTGCTACTGAGCGGTTTGTTCTGCTGAACGCGCCCAATTTTGACATTTATCTTTAGGGACTCCTACTTTTAGGTGTAAAAAAAGGTGAAATAGATATAATTATTCTTTAGTTTCTGTAATATTTTTGCTGTTAAATTTTCTTACGTTATCTCATAGCATTATTTGTGCACAAAATCAAGTTTTTTTTTAAGGATTAATTACAAAAGTGGTAGGAGTCCCAGAGACTCTACAATCATACGGTTGAAAGTTAAACTTTCCGTATTGACGTATATTCGTACTTGATAAGTTCGTCCTATAATCTTACGCTTATCTTGTTTTGCAAGTACAGCGCGACGCGGAACGACAGGATTATCTTGAACCGCACGGCGCGGGGGGCGCGACGGATGAAGAAAAAAAAATATATTCGCCCGTGTCGTACCGGTCTCGAGTCTCGATCGTTGCGCAAGATTTATGATAATGTTGCGCGAAGATAATCTGTCGAGCGCGAGGCGGCTGTTCGCGCGGCGAGTTTCCGCGCGCGTGGGCAAGAATTATGCGCGTAAAAACGCGCGACGTCACGGCTTTAAACCTGTTACGAAGCGTAAACAAGCGAGCTTCTCTTAAGTAATGCGATCGACTGATAGCTCCGGTCGCGTATCCGTATCGCGCGCCCCTTCTCGCACCCTTCGAATGCAATATATTTCCGCCGTCATTACGAATTGAATTATCCAATCAGTTACATAATTTAAATCGATTATCAATTTAAGTGTGTGGGTTTATTGTTCCGACAAAGAGCAGTGTTTTAAAGTTTAAAAGACCGACAAAAAAAAATACTCTTGATTTGAAAATATCTTTAGTTCAACATCTTAGAAATCTTGAAATGAGATTATATTGCGTTAAAATAAAGACAACTTGCTTCAATGAAGTCATTTTATATAGTTTAATTACGACAAAAAAATTGAACTTTTTATAAGAAGATTATAGATCAGCACGTAGAGAGAGAGAGAGAGAGAGAGAGAGAGAGAGAGAGAGAGAGAGA